CTGCCACTGTCCCTTAGTGCCACTGCCACCCCCAACGTCACTGCCACTGTCCCTTAGTGCCACTGCCCCCATTAATGCCACTGTCACCATTAGTGCCACTGCCACCCCCAACGTCACTGCCACTGTCCCCATTAGTGCCACTGCCACCCCCACTGTCACTGCCACTGTCCCTTAGTGCCACTGCCCCCATTAATGCCACTGTCACCATTAGTGCCACTGGCACCCCCAATGTCACTGTCCCTTAGTGCCACTGCCATCCCCAACGTCACTGCCACTGTCCCTTAGTGCCACTGCCACCCCCAACGTCACTGCCACTGTCCCTTAGTGCCACTGTCACTGTCCTTTAGTGCCACTGCCCCCATTAATGCCACTGTCACCATTAGTGCCACTGGCACCCCCAATGTCACTGTCCCTTAGTGCCACCGTCCCCCTCAATGTCACTGTCCCCTGGTCCCTTAATGCAACCGTCCCATTAATGCCACTGTCACCATGTCCCTTAATGTCACTGTCCCCATTAGTGCCACTGTCACCCTCAGTGTCACTGTCCCTGTCTCTTAATGCCACTGTCCCATTGATGCCACTGTCACCATGTCCCTTAGTGCCACTGCCCCATTAGTGCCACTGTCACTGGCCCTTAGTGCCACTGTCACCCCCAATGTCCCAGTCCCTTAATGCCACTGTCCCCATTAATGCCACTGTCACCTCCAATGTCACTGCCTCCATGTCCCTTAGTGCCATGGTCCCCATGTCCCTTAATGCCACTGTCCCCACTGATGTCACTGTGTCACTGTCCCTTGCTCCCTTAATGCCACCGTCCTCTGCTGTTACTGTCACTGTCCCCATGTCCCTCAATGCCACCGATCCCCTTAATGTCACTGTCCCCCACTCTGTTACTGCCACTGTCCCCTTAATGCCACTGTCCCCTGCTCTGTTAATGTCACTGTCCCCGTTACTGTCACTGTCCCCATGTCCCAGAGTGCCACTGTCCCCACTGATGTCATTGTGTCACTGTCCCCGTTAATGCCCCTGTCCCCTGCTTCTTTAGTGCCACTGTCCCCATTGATGTCACTGTCCCCTGTCCCTGCCTGTCCCGGTGCTCTGGCACAGCCGAGCAATTCCCCCCATGGAATCCTGGAATTATCCAGGGCTGGAAAAGCCTCCAGGATCACTGAGGCCAGCCAGTGTCACCCCAAAATCCTGTCACCCCCAAACCCCTGTCACCCCAAAATCCTGTCACCCCCAAACCCCTGACCCCACAAACCCCTGTCACCCCCAAACCTGCTGTCCCCAAGGGCCACACCCCAGTGTGAACATTCCAGGGGTTTTGTCCCACTCTGGAGGAGCCAGAGCTGGGGACAAATCCACAGAGGGGTTTGGGATGGGGCATTGCCCAGACTATGGGGTTCCTCCCACACCATTGGGGTTCCTCCCACACCATTGGGGTTCCTCCCACACCTTTGGGGTTCCTGTCCCAGTGTCACATTTATCACCAAAGAGCAAAAGCAGCGTTTCCCCTTGGGGACAGAGCCACTCCAGGCCCGTGCAGCATTTCAGGACAGACCTTTCCATGTCCCCAAACTGCCCCCAGGGTCCCCAAACTGCCCCCCCAGGGCTCCATTATCCCAGGAAAAGCTGCTGAGCTCTCCCTGAGCGAGGTTTCAGCCCCACACTGGGATTTCCTGGCGCTGGGATAAAGGGACAAGGCACAGGAACGGGGTCAGGAGCTCAGAAAGACTCGGGGAGAATTTTGGGGAAAAGGAAACATCCAGTGCTGGAGGCTCTGGCAGCCCTGGCCAAACTCCCCGTGGCCATTCCCACCTCCAGGAGATTTGGAAAAAAGCATGGATGGAATTCCTGGATAACAAAAAGGGGGCAAACCCCAGCTGGGCCTGCCCTGACCCCAAAATTCTGCTGGATTTGGGATCTCTCAGCTGCCAAGAAGGGGAAGAATCAGTCCCAGCTTCACCCCCAGGCATCCCAGAGGATTCTCCCACTGGATCTGAGCCCACAGCTCTGCCTGGAGCATTCCCAGCCTGGCTGCTGCCATGGAGGCACAGCCCAGCACAGCCCACGATTCCCAGGAAAAGGTTGGGGAGGAAACCTGAGCTGGAGCCCCGGGGCTGTGGCACAGAGGGGAAAACACCTCTGGGAAAGGCTCAGGGGCTCCTCTTTGACAGCCTCAAAGCAGAATTCCCAAACTGGGATTGCTCCAGAATCCTCCAAACCCTGCAGGGCTGGGACAGGGAATCCCCAGTGCAGGGAATTCCAGATTTTTATTTTTTTTTTTCCCCCCCCAGAGCTGTCCCCATCCTGCTCACAGTGACCACACCTGGAGCTGCTCCACTCCCAAATCCACACAAAAACCGGGATAACTCCCCTTGCCCTGGGATCCGGTGCCAAGGCAGGGATTGCCCCCAGCCTGTGGCTGCTGCAGGGAAATTCCTGCACTAAAATCCCCATCTGGATCAAATCTGATTTTCTGGGAGGCTCCTGAGCTCGCCAGGAGGAGCAGGACACTGGGAGGACACTGCAGGGGACAGGAGTGGCCTCAGGCTGGGATTTCAGGGAAAATTGGCTCGCTGGAAAGGTGGGGAGGCACTGGGAGAGGGAATAAATCCCTGGAAATGTCCAAAAGCACAAAGGGACACAAAGATTTGGTGGAGACAGAGCAGCTGGGCTCTGGTCTCAGAGGGATTTTCCAGTGCTGGTGATTCCCTAATTCCAGAGGATCCAACACCAGCAGCTGGCTGGGGTTTAATTAATCTGTTAATCCACTAAGAGCAGCCCCCGGGCTCGGGGGGCAGCAGGGAACAGCCCTGAGCTCGTCCCCTTCCCCAGCTCCTGCTCCTGGAGCCTCTCCTGGAATCCTGGAGCCCTTCCTGGAATCCTGGAGCCCTTCCTGGAAATCCTGGAGCCCTTCCTGGGCAATCCTGGAGCCACTTTGGGATCCCCAGCAGCTCCAGCCCCGACAGGCCTGGGCTGGGCAAGGTGGGGCTGGGTGGGGTCCAAGGTCCCTTCCAGCCCAAAGCATTTCCGGGATTCTGGGAGATCCCAGATCACGAATTCCCTCTGGGAATCCCAGAGCATTCCCAGCCTCAAAAGGAGAGCCAAGAGCCATCCCAAACCATTCTGGGATTCTGGGAGATTCCACATCATGAATTCCCAGCTTTGTGAGGAGAGCCAACCCAAACCATTTTGGGATTGTGAGAAATCCCAGATCACAAATTCCCTTGGGAACCCCAGAGCATTCCCAGCCTCAAAAGGAGAGCCAAGAGCCATCCCAAACCATTCGGGGATTTTGGGAGAGCCCAGACCATTAATTCCTCTGGGAATCCTGAAGCATTCCCAGCCCTGGTGAGGAGATCCAACTCAAACCATTCCTGGAATTTTGGGAGATCCCAGAACACGAATTCCCTTGGGAATTCCAGAGAATTCCCAGCTTTGTGAGGAAAGCCAGCTCAAACCATTCCTGGGATTCTGGGAAATCCCAGATCCCAAATTCCCTCTGGGAATCCCAGAGAATTCCCAGCCTCAAAAAGAGATCCAAGAGCCAACACAAACGATTCTGGGATTTTGGGAGATTCCAGATCATGAATTCCTGACATGGGAATCCCAGAGAATTCCCAGCCCCATTAGGAGAGCCAGCCCAAACCATTTCTGGGATTCTGGGAATCCCAGATCATGAATTCCCTCTGGGAATCCCAGAGAATTCCCAGCTCCAAGAGGAGAGTCAGACCAAACCATTCCTGGGATTTTGGGAAATCCCAGAACACAAATTTCCCCTGGAAATCCCAGAGCATTCCCAGCCCCATTAGGAGCTCCAACCCAAACCATTTTGGGATTCTGGGTGATCCCAGATCCCAAAATTCCCTCTGGGAACCCCAGAGCATTCCCAGCCCTGTGAGCAGACCCCCATCCCCTCTGCCCGGGGTTTTTACAATCCCACAGGGGTTTTTTTGGTTTTTTTTTTTGTTTTTTTTTCCCGATATTCCCGATGTGCAAATCCCCCAGGAAAGGCCCGGGGTGGGACAGGCCCAGCCAAGGGCAAAGGAGGCAGCCGGGATCTGCCATCGCCATGGCAACCACATCCCAGCCCTGGGCGAGCTGAGAACGCGGGGAGAGCAGGAGCGGCAGGGAGGGCTGGCCACGAGGGCTGGGAAAGGCAGGAATCCATCCCTGGAAAAATACAGGGATGGGGAAAGGAGGAATTCATCCCTGGAAAAACAGGGATGGGAAAGGCAGGAATCCATCCCTGGAAAAACACAGGGGTGGGAAAGGTGGGAATTCATCCCTGGAAAAACAGGGATGGGAAAGGTGGGAATTCATCCCTGGAAAATACAGAAATTCATCCCTGCAAAAATAGGGGTGGGAAAGGCAGGAATTCATCCCTGGGAAAAACAGAAATTCATCCCTGGAGAAACAGGGGTGGGAAAGGTGGGAATTCATCGCTGGAAAAACAGGGATGGGAAAGGCAGGAATTCATCCCTGTAAAAACAGAAATTCATTCCTGGAAAACACAGGGATGGGAAAGGTGGGAATTCATCCCTGGAAAACACAGGAATTCATCCCTGGGAAAGGCAGGAATTCATCCCTGGGAAACAGGGATGGGGAAGGTGGGAATTCATCCCCTGGAAAAACAGGGATGGGAAAGGCAGGAATTCATCCCTGGAAAAACAGGGATGGGAAAGGCAGGAATTCATCCCTGGAAAAACAGGGATGGGAAAGGCAGGAATTCATCCCTGGAAAAACACAGGGGTGGGAAAGGCAAGAATTCATCCCTGGGAAAAACAGAAATTCATCCCTGGGAAACAGGGATGGGAAAGGTGGGAATTCATCCCTGGAAAATACAGAAATTCATCCCTGCAAAAATAGGGGTGGGAAAGGCAGGAATCCATCCCTGGAAAAACACAGAAATTCATCCTTGGAAAACACAGAAACTCATCCCTGGAGAAACATGGGGAAGGTGGGAATTCATCCCCTGGAAAAACAGAAATTCATCCCTGGAAGACACAGAATTCATCCCTGGAAAAACAGGGATGGGAAAGGCAGGAATCCATCCTTAAGGAGCTCAGGAGAACTGGAAAACCATGGGAGGAGGAAGAGGAGGAGGAGGGAATTAGAAACAACCTGGAAAACAACAACCTGGACTGAACACAACCCCGTGGGATTCGATTTCCTCTGGATTTTGAGGGAATCTCTGAGGGATTTGAGGCAGCTTTTGCTCAGCCCCGAGTTAAGAGGCAGGAGGATCCATCTGCACCGGGTGTGGGAAGAAGGGCAGGGATTTGGGATCCTCCCCTGGGATTGGGAATGGCTTTTCCTCCAGCTGGAAGAGGAGGAAGAGGGAGGAAGAGGGAGGAAGAGGGAGGAAGAGGGAGGAAGAGGGAGGAAGAGGGAGGAAGAGGGAGGAAGAGGGAGGAAGAGGGAGG